AGTCCTGAGTATGTAGTACATTCCCATGGCTCCTGAGCACCGATTTATCACTAGTTTCCATACTATTGCTTATATTTCTTCTTGAATTCATGTTAGATTGATTTGGCTCATCATCTGAAGCACTAGATAGTACAATGCAATTCAGCGAATTTAACAACATATTCTTAGCTCCTTCGATAGATTTCTCATTAGCAGTTTCACGAAAACGCCTAGCTAGCAAAGATAATTGGTCTTTCACCTGAACATAAAATGAACAAAACAGTATGTAAACATTGTATTCACTTGCATAAAACGAAAAGCGGATAAATGATAAAAATTTCAAAATTTGTGAGATGAATGAAGATATGTACCGAGGAAGGTAGTACACCACCAACAGTTTTGTCAAGCGCAGATCTAAACTTCACAGATTCATGGGTAGAATCTTGATGTAGATGACAACAACCAATGCAACCCATGGAATAGACGGTTTGGGATATCAACTTCACCTATTAAGGAACAGAGTTAAAAAAATCGGTACTGCTCAGAAAATAAGTGAGCTTGTATAACATTAGAACATCAGAAAGAAACTTAAAAAGAGATAAATAAATAAATAAAATATAATAAAAAACATACAGGGCGTAGGCCATATTCCCTTGGACCTTTGCAATCCAAGTTCGCAAACTCTTTCACTAGCAAATTATTCCAGGCCTTTACTCTTGGTATTCCAGGAGGCACTCGGCATAACCCCAAATCTAGAAAATCTAAGTAATGGCACTACATAGAAAATAGCACAACATTAAAAAAATATTTCAAACTCTCAATCATGAAACACATCAGAACAAAACAGAAAAAATAACTTACACAAAGCCCATAAATGCAGCCACCCAGTGTAGTTAATCCGTCCTCTTTTGTAGGTTTCTTTGGCTCTTTTTGATATTTCCTTATGTATGACATAAGCCAATCAAAAACAAACTTTGACAAATCATTGTTCGTAACTTGAGTTGGATCAATAAGAATTCCTAGGTATTTTGTGCTAGGGTAGATATTTGAATTGGGGCACAAAACAGTTGCAAAGGCAACTAGAAGAAAACATCTGAGGAAATCAATGTCAGATATATCATGCTTGAGCATTCTCAACCCAAACCTTTTAATAGAGGGCACTGTTCACCAATAATATTGAGGAAAGTTGCTTTTGTCACTTCACTGTCAAATAAAACTAAAGTGCCACCTAATGGAAGACCAAGTAGTAGATGAAATGATTTGGGGCTCATTGGAATTACTTTATTGTCAAGAACTATGTCACTAATAGGTGGATTTACTTTCCCTGCTATCCAATGCGCAAATCCTCTTGGAACAAAATTGCACTCAAAATCAAGAATAAAAGAGCAAGCATAGTTTTTAATGACATCTAATCTTGATGGTGGAATTTTCTTCAGCAGATCACTGAAATAGCCATGATTACACCTGCTCGTTGCCTTCTTCGGAGGAAGTGGGGCACACTGACCAAGAAAAGAAAAAAAACTCAAAAACAATAACTAAAAACATACGTACAATATGAAGTTAAACTTCTCATCACACAAAAAGATTAAATTGTAAAAATAAATGCATTCCTCATACAAAAATTTCCACGCAAAAGGGAATGCAAAAACATCACACCTATTCAATCCAACTACACCTTTAAACTACTAAATAAATATCTGAAAACTTCCAACAAAAATAAATTGTTACTGACTCAGAGTCTATTTAATGTTTACTGTACAAAATATTAGAGAACTGTTGTTCACACTAAGTATGCAAAAAAATGAGATGGGTTTCATTTGATACAAGCAAAAAAAACAAAAAAAACTACTTAACTACAAATGGTATCCTTGGGACACTGATGATCTTGATTCGACTCTACTAAAAAAAGTGGGAAAACATTTGCAACACTCTGAAATTACATCTAGTGTCAGACTCCTGATTAAATAGTGCCGAGCAAAATAAACATTTGCATTATCTATTAATCATCAACATCACATGGCACTGACAAAAAACAAAGACTCTGGTAGCATGTAAAAACAAATTGAATCTAATTTTTATAAATTAATGACTGAAAATACAATGCATAAGGGGAATATCTGTTGGGACACTTGGAATTTTAAAAGCTGAAGTGTGGAAAAATTAAAAAGCCTGACCTGTCATGCACACTGACACAACACCTATTGTCTCTAAGAATGGTTCTCATCAAAATCAAATTATTTGCAAACAACAATTAAAATCATCATATTTAGTACTAACTACCAAAAAGGCTCTGTCAACATGAACCCAGATAAATGATTGAACATATTCTACAACACAGAAAACTATGAAAGCTTGCATACTGATATATATATATATATATATATATATATATATAGTAGTAATATGGCAGAATGATCAGCTAAAGTGACAGTAAATATGAATAAATCAGAATATACATCCATATAATGGAGGAATAAATTGCTATGAAAAAGACTTACGCAGGTATTCTTAGAAGAATTGGCATTGTGATTTGATGAGTAAAACTATTAGGAATCACAAAAGGGAAAAGTATTAGTAAATTATAAAAACACAAAACAAAAGTCAAAAGTAGTAAAAAAAATACCAAGTAACTTAGAAATACAAAAATTCTACAGATTCAAAATTACGAAAATCTATATACACATAATATAGAAACTCAAAGTTAGAACGAGGAAAATACCAAATTCCGCAGGTTGTTCAGGAACTTTTCGACATCAAACTGGGGGTCTCCGCCACCTACCTGGAAACCAGCAGAAAAGATTTTCGGTTATACAACTTTCATAAGAAATCACAACACTAGAAACTGCGAACCTTCTATTCGAAAACATATACATTAAAAAGATGAAAACATACATCAAGTAACTGAGTGTGTCCTTCAAACTGGCTTTGCGAAGGAAATGTTTCATCTAAATCATCGTCAAGGTACATCCCTTCGCTGTCTTCCAAATCATTGGTGCCACTAGCCATTTTCTGCAGACACCAAAAAACCCATTATCTTAGAAAATATTGTAATAACTAAATGATCTAAAAAAATAAGCATAGAAGGAAAAACAAGTAGTGGAATTATGAATACAGTAATTTAGAGGACTGAAATCATCAGTAGACAAAATGAACTCATGTAGACAAAACCACAAAGGGGATGCATAAGTCGCAGCTGAAAAATAAAAGCACCCACATCAAGTTCAGTTTACCTATGATATTTGAGCTCAAATTAATGATTAATTGCAACTACAATAAAAGGAATTAGACCTAAAAGAAGCTCACACATAGTCCATATCAATGCATCTGACATCACATATGAAAAGCATGATTATGATCTTAGCACCCTGGGCGAACCAAATCTAAGCAGCTAAACAATTTGACATGACACATCAAAATTTTGACATTACAGCAATGTAAACATTGCACCTGCCTGATAGAAACAGGATCACCTCTAAGTTCATTTAAGCACAGGGAAAATCCACCTCAAAAAAAATTGGACGCTACTGGTGGAAACTATGGATTTCAAGCTATATTCTGTATAGACGCAACTACGTATACCAGGCATGAGATTTCAAAGCGGGCTGCACTCCGGCCACAAAGTGAAAGAAAATTGAAATTCAGAAACAATTACGCATCTAAACAGGAGCGCAATTCGTGAGCACCTACGGGAACCACCCTAAACATCTGAATCTAACAGATCACATATTCAATCATGCAATCCTAGGGTCTGGAGAAAGGGATCAGGAAATTGAACGCAAAGGGGAAAAGTCATACGCGGAGAACGAACCTGAGATATATGTAGAAGGAGGCGCGTTATCAGAAGGTGCGAGCGAAGCACCAATTTGTCCGAGCACTGGCCCAACAATGGTGGTCGCGTCGTCGGAGAGGAAGGAGAGGAGAGGAGAACGTGCCCGAGGAGACGAGCACCCCCGCAGAAAGGGAACGGGCTGCTGATTTTGAAATAACGGTGATGTCACCAGTCACGCAAGTCATCAGTTACGGAAGGCCTAGTCGTGCACGCTCGGAAAAGAAGAACAAACTTAAAAGACAAAAAAGCATGAATCTCAAAGCACTGAATGAACGGCCGGCTTTCAAAACTGATGCAATGGGACTCTTTGGCTAATGATTATCACATAGAAAAAATGCATGAATCTTAGAGCACTAATGATTTTCACATATAGGAAAAACCATAGAAGCTTTCAAAAAAGATTCACATAATAAATTAGGGAAAAAAGATGAAAGTTAAGAAATTATGAAGCATTAGTTTCATTATGAAAAACCATTTTAAAACACATTTAAAAACATCTGAGAGGATAAAACACTCAACACACATTTAACTTAAAATAATAATAATTAATAAACCAACGAAAAAATGTACAAAAATAAATTTAGTGAGACTGGTGAATAGAAATCATATGACACCAAGAGAAAAATAAAATCTATATGATCTGCAAGGAAAAATATCAATCATATTAAAGTAGATTCACAAGGGAACAAAATTCATTTCATAGGTAAAGAAGAAAAAAAATCAAACAATTTATCGGGTGACTTTGAACCAACAATTGATATGATCTATGAAATAAAAAGATCAATCAAATAATTTGTTGATCACCCAGGGAAACAATGGAAATTCAAACTCCCAATACAACTACAAAGATATGAAGAAATTCAAAAATCTCAAACAGAAAAGATTACAACACACAGAAGCATTAATAACATAAAAACATTTGGAAAGTTCTGATAACCGTTGAATTATAAGACATAGTTCAGATAGCACGAACGATAACTAGACTTTTCTTCAGTACTTGACTTAACTACAAGTTAACCACCCAAACTTTTCTTCAGTCTTCAACTTAACTATTGATAGCTTAAAGTCTTCAGTGCATAGATCCAAAAAGTAAGACAATCCACACATAAGCCACCACAAGTTATAGCCTGCAAACTAAAGAACCCACTACAATCTCTTCTTTCCCAAACTAAACTTCTATCATTGCTTTCATCTACAAAAGCCGCTGGAAGATAATTGAAACTGAACGATCATAAGTTGACTCATTGAAAGTGATGAGCACAACATTGTCGTTTGCATACGAAGTCGCTGAGAGGAACTCGCTGAAACTGGTCTTCTCGATCACCAACCTCCCATCTTGCTTGCACAGCTTGAAAGATGATGGCATGATAACATGTGTATCACCCTGGTAAGCTTCCAGAGATATTCTAGCACTTATTGGCATGTCAACAACGCTCCTCAAGCTAGAGACAACAACCTTTGGGATTTTCTGTTACAAAGAAAATGAAAAAATATGGATAAAAATTGATACGCCGAAAAAAACTTCATCAAGACTAAACTTGCATTAAAAAATCATTAAGCACAACAAATGTAAACAAATAAAGAAAAATAGAATGAAGCAGTAAAGTAGAAAACTTACCATGATGAACTTCACAGTATTTGAGGCAGTCATGACATGGACGAACGGAATGCAGCGCATGATCCCTGAAGTACGAAAAAGTGAATGTACAAACGAGCAGTTGTTGTGATAGTTGAACTCCAAGCCACGGGGCATCACAGCAGAGCAAACTAGCTCGTACCTTTCTCGGTGTACAAAAGTAGGGGTCCTTTTTGTACCCCTTGACTTGTGCACGGGCAGTCGCAGCCACAGTTATGGCCGCGCTTGGCAGAGCAGAAGGGGGAGCAGAGACACAAGACAACCAGGGCAAGGCCAAGATAGAGGCGCGAGGAGCAAAGGGACAAGGTGGGCTTTCCCATGGCAAGAGCCTTGCCGGGGCAACTTGCCCCACACCAGCGAGGCCGCGACCCTAGAGCCCAAGAGTTCCGACGCCATCGACAACATTGGAACCAAGGCTCGGGAGGCGCCAGCATGGTGGCATGCAGATCTTTGTGAAGACCAAGAATAGATGATAGCCAGAAGACGGAGACCCCCGGCGAGATCCTTGCCGGGGATGCCCACAAGACCCCCGACAAGACCCTTGACGGGGACACCTATGAGACCCCGGCAAGACCATTGCCGGGGACATCTGCAGGGCCACAGTCAGGCCCACACCTGCCAAGGCTCCACCGCCGTCCCAAAGCAGCAGTCAAACCCGCCAACTAGGCAGGCACCTGCGTGGCGGTGTGCGACTTCCAGGCCAACTCAGCAAGCACCTGCATGGTGGTATGCAGATCATCGTGAAGACTCTGCCACCACGCCAGCTCAATAGCCAGCCAGCCAGCGTGGTGCTATGCGCCTCGTCAGCTTGGACGCGCGTCGGAGCGAGGCGAAGTGGCGATGGGCGGGACGAGCTTCCTTGCCATCCCCGATAAAGTGAGAGGGCATGTCGGCAACATTAAATGCATTTTGTCCTACGGTGCCAGGGATAGACTTGTATACAGTACACACTTTCCACCTCATGTGTGCCACTGTGGAGACCCCTTTGGACTATAACAGGAGGCCCGAGGCATACCGAGGGAGGATCCAGACTTTTTGGACCCTGCACGCTTTGTAGCTAGTCCGAGAACACCAGATAAACACAAACAGCAGGAGTAGGGTATTACGCATCGCTTGCGGCCCGAACCTGGATAAACCCCCCGCGTTGATCTTCTGAACCCGCTCTTTCCACAGTCCCGCGCCCACCAACCATAGTAGAAGGGATCCTCGTGGTCCCATAGGTGTCGTTTCCCCCGACAACCTTGCATTACTTAGGTTTTCAAAAGCTACAAAAACAAACACATATAATGCAAATGAGTTAACATCTATGAGAACAATGCGATTAAAAAGGAGAAGAAAAAACAATGATAAAAATAACACATACAAAAAATCAGAAACTGACCAATAGAAGGTAAAGGAAGAATCAATTCGCCATCACAGAAAGTCACTACTTTGAGGTCAAAGCATGAGTTGTCCAGAGTAAATACCACACGATCTCCAGCACGAAGGGCATAATCGTTGCTGAACTCAAACCAAGCACTGCCACAAAACTTTGAGTAGTTCCCTCGATGCTTAAAGTTTGAAGCATAAGACCTACTCTCATAAGTGAGAATAGCAGGCTCAGTCCTCTTGTGCTTGAAAGTTGTTGCAATATTCCTGTGCTCCTCGATATAATCGGCTAAGAAACCCTTACATTGCATGGGATGTACTGAAAAAAAACATGAAAGAACCCAAGACAAAGTAAATATAGCATGAAAAAGAAAATTTCACGTCCATCATGCTAAAAAATTAGACATTTAACAAAACAACAAACGTTCATATCATATTAATCAAGTTGATATCATTATTGACGGATTGGATGGAGGAATCAAACTGCATGGATTTTTGGAACAAGATACATGCAGGAAATCAAACTGCATTCACAAACTATAACTACAGCAAGACACAAACAAATAAAAAAAGCACATTCATCACAGTTAAAATGCGCAAATTTTACAGCATCAACTACTGATATTAACCTTGCTGTTATCGTAATTTAAAGTTTAGTGAGGTAGATATGTTGGTTTACTTTTGAGGCATTTAAACTACATAGAAGCTAACTAAATAGACAATTTTAACTACACAAACAAAGAATTGATCCATAAAAATCAAAATTTAGGATTTGAACTACTATCTTCATAAATAGTACACTTGCACACAGTTTGCATGGACATCAATTTCAACAAGCACGAATTACATGAACTACAAACTACCTTAGTACCGTACTAAATAATAGAGAATTTGCAAGCTCACACAAACACTACTAGGGAAAACCTTACACACAACATCTTAACAGTAGCGCTGAACAAATATGGGCGCTACTGCTACTTAGTAGTAGATCGTTTAAAAAAACGCGCTACTGCTACTACTTTAGCAGTAGCGCGTGCTACGACAACACGCTGCTGCTATGTGTGTACTGGGTGCAGATGGCTAGCCCCACTTAGTAGTAGCGATTATCTCTGGCCAGCGCTACTACTACGTCTCATAGCAGTAGCACGTTCTAGGAAAACGCGCTACTACTGAATTACCTTATCCTACACGCGCCCGACCCTCTCACTCTCACTGTCGCCCGTGCCGGTTCCGTTGTCCGCCGCCGTCGCGCTGCTCCTTTCCACCGAGGTACTCCCTCCGTCCCACCCCCTTCCTCCTCCCTCCTCCCCTTCCTCCAGCCGCCCTCCTCCCACCGCCCC